GTGGACCACTGCCCAGGTGTATGCTGGCCTTCAGTCCTGTGCACCCTGGCACCAGTCCCTGGAGCCTGGAACACCTCTTCCTCCTTCACTTGGCCAACTCCCCTTTCCCAATCTCAGAGTGCAGCTCTTTGACTCTCAGGAGTTCCAATTCCCTCCTCTAAGGCAAATGCTAGCCCAGGCGTCCCTTCCATGTTCAAGCCCCTTTTAATCTTATTTGGGTACTGGGGATCCTGCCCAGGTCTTGCATGGTAGGTAAGACTCTGCCCCTGAGCTACACTCCCAGCTTCTATTTTGCAGGTGACTGTTTTTTTCTGTGCTAGGGATGGAACCCAGGGCCTGGTGCATCCTAGGAAAGTCCTCTGCCAGTGAACAATGCCCCCAGTGGCTGAAAGTATCATTCAGAGAGAAAAAGAATTCTAGAGAGGCCTACACAGGGATACAGTCTCCTTCGCCACGGGGTTCTCCTTTGGGGCTGGGCCCCGGGTGGCCATGTCTACATCAGCCCCTCCCCCTCAGCAGTGCCCCCTGTTGCTGCAAGGCAGTCCTTGCAAGAACAAACAAGGGCCTGTCACCTCTACCACCTTCTGACTGGACAGGTTTGTATGTCCTGCTCTCACTATCTCTCAGGCGGCCCTTTCAGGTCGCAGGCCACTTGCTCTTCCCAGGGTCATGTGATTCCCCTCTCTGGTTCACCCAGATGTCAGGAAGCCCTCAGGATGCCAAGCTGCAGTACAAACCCCACCCCCTCATCCACCCCCACGTTCTCAGTGTTGACCACACTTCAGATAATCCGAGGAAGTTTTAACAGGCACAGGTGGCTAAGCCTACCTGGACCAATTAAATCAGAGGCCCTAGGCTTGGCTCTAGAAGTTTCTCAGAGCTTCCCTAGTGATTCCTGTGCGCAACTATGACTGGAAAATGCTGTGAAAATATCTACCCCCATGAGGCCTGAAATTCTTCAGATGTCTGATGGGGAGCTGGTGACCACCTTATAGGAGGTGACCTTGAGCAGCCTGCAGAGGAATGAGGAGGAGGAGGGGAAGGAGGAGGAGGGAAAGGAGGAGGAGAGGAAGGAGGAAAAGGGAAGGAGGAAGAAGGCAGCCATCTCCCTTACCTCCTCCCAGTTGCCCTCCTCCTTCTCGTGTGTCCTGGAAGCCCCCTGCTTTGTCACCAGCCACAGGGATCCTGCACCCTGCGCCTAGTCTGGCTTGGTACTGCACTTTGGCAAAAACTGAGGTCCACAGGCAAACAACCTGGGAACAAAGATGTTGTCAGGGTGATGAGCTGGAGGGAAGCCGGCCACCTAGGTGGGCTCCAGTACCTCTAAAAAATATCCCAGAGCAGAGACAGAAAAGACCGAAAGGGGACGCAAGAATCCAGGAAGGCTGACAAAAGCTTTAGGGCCTGGCCAGCCTGTAGAAAGAGGGCGGGACTCCTGGGGTCAGGAACTAATGTTGACAAAGCAAGACAATTCCATTAGAAGAAACGGTGTCATCTGGGACAAGGACAGAACAAGATGCACTATCCCACAAACTATGGCCCGAGCCATAACATCGGACATCTCTCAGACTTGAGCAGTTTCCAAGGATGCCTAGGGGCAGGGCCACAGTGACCGTTGTCACCTCTGTCACTTACGCATCAGATATTTATTGTATCCTGCTATATAGCATTGCCTGGTGATATAAAGGGGACTGGGCTGTGTCCCTGCTCTCCTGAAGTTTACAGTTTATATAGGGAAAGGCAATGAGAAAAAGTGCTTAATTTATTAGTAACGTGAATAGAATTACATTTAGAGACAGATAAGAACAGCATAGGGTGGGTTTGTAGCTAGTGATAGAGAACTTGCCTAATATATGTGAAGTCTTAGGTTCCATC